AGAAGTATACCTATACATATATGGTCAATTAATTTATGACAAAAAAGCCAAGACTATGCAATGGGGAAAGGACAGTCTCTTCAATAAACGATGTTGGAAAAACTGGACAGCCACATGCAAAAGAAGGAAACTGGACCATTCTCATACCATGTGCAAAAATTAACTCAAAGTGGATTAAAGACTTGAACATGACTTGAAACCATAAAACTCCTAAAAGAAAACATAAATAGTAAGCTCCTTGACACTGATCTTGGCGATGATCTTTTGGATTTGAAATTAAAAGCAAAGACAACAAAAGCAAAAATAAACAAGTGGCACTACATCAAATTGAAAAGCTTCTGCACAGAAAAGGAAACCAACAAATGAAAAGGCAACCTACCAAACGGGAGAAAATATTTGCAAATCATATATCTGATAAGGGGTTAATATTCAAAATACATAAAAACTTGTACAACTCAGAAAAAGAAAGAATCTGATTTAAAAAATGGGCAGAGGACCTGAATAGACATTTTTCCAAAGAAGATATAAATAGCCAATAGGTACATGAAAAGATGCTCAACATCACTAATCACCAGGGAAATGCAAATCAAAACCACAATGACATATCACCTCGTACCTGTCAGAATGGTCTTTATTAGAAGACAAGAAATAACAAACATTGGTGAGAATATGGAGAAAGGGAACCCTTGTACACTTGGTAGGAATGCAAACTGGTGCAGCCACTGTGGAAAACAATATGGAATTTCCTGAAAAAAATTAAAAATAGGTCTACCATATGATCCAGCAATTCCATTTCTTGGTATTTATCTGAAGAAAACAAAAACACTAACTCAAAAAGATATATGCAGCCTCATGTTTATTGCAGCATTATTTACAATAGCCAAGATATAGAAACAATATAAGTATCCATCGATAGATGAATGGATAAAGAAAATGTGATATGTGTATGTATATATATATAATATATATTATATTTATATATAATAGAATATTATTCAGCCATAAAAAAGAAGGAAATCCTGCCATCTGTGACAAGAAGGATGGACCTTGAGGGCATTATGCTAAACGAAATGTCAGACAGAGACAGGCAATTAGCATGTAATATCATTTATGTGTGGAATCTAAAAAAACAATAATAACAAAAAACCCGAGCTCATAGACACAGAGAAGAGATTGGTGGTTGTCAGAGGTGGAGAGTGAGAGGTGAATGAAAAGGGTGAAGGGTGTCAAAAGGTACAATCTTCCAGTTATAAAATAAATAAGTCCTGGGAATATAATGTACAGCACAATGACTGAAGTGAATAATACTGCATTGCATATTTGAAAGTTGCTAAGAGAGTAAATCTTAAAAGTCCTCATCACAGGAAAAAGAAATTTTGTAACTATGTATGGTGAAGGATGTTCAGTAGACTTATTGAGGTGATCATTTTGCAATATATACAAATACCAAATCATTATGTTGTACATCTGAAAATAATATAATGTTATATGTCACCTCTACCTGAATTAAAAAAGAAAAAAATTAACAAAAGCTATAAAAGATTCAGACATAAAAAAATTACTGAGAGAAATTTTAAAATACCTAAATAAAGAGGCACACCATTACTATAGATCAAAAGACTCAATATTATTAAGATATCAGTTATTCCAAAATTGATATATGGATTCAATGCAATCTCAATCATAAACTAACAAAATGATTCTAAGATTTACATGAAAGTATAAATGCCTTAGAATAGCCAAAATATTTTTGATAAAGAAGAACAAAGTTGGAGGGATTAAATTATCTGATTTCAAGACTTTCAACTTCAGCGATAGAAACAATATGGTATTGGCATAGAGGATTGACACTTACCAAATACCATACACAAGAAAATCAAGGTGAAATGGATCAGAGACCTAAACATAAAAAATAAATCTATAAAACTTACAGAAGAATACATAGAAGAAAATCTTCAAACCTTAAGTTAAGAAAAAATATTTTAGATAACATGGAAAGCACTAACCATAAAAGAAAACTTTGATAAACTGGACTTCATCAAAGTTAAAACTTCTATTCTTCTAAAGACGCCATTAAGAAAGTAAAATGTGTGAAAAACATCTCACAAAAACAGCTCTACTGATGACCAATAAACACTGAAAAAGATGCTCAACATCATTAATCGTGAGAAAAATATGAATTAAAACCACAATGAAATACACACCTATTAGAATGGCTAAAAGAATTAAAATACTAAGTATTGCTGAGGACGTGGAGCAGCTGAAACCTCCACACACTGTGGTGGGCATGGAAAGTGATACAACCACTTTGAAAAACAGCTCAGGAGTTACTACACAATCCAGCAATTCCACTCCTAGGGATTGACCCAAGAAAAATAAAAAGCTATGTTCACCCAAATACATTTACATAGATGTTCATAGTGGCTTTATTCAAAATAGCCCAAACTGGAAACAACCAAAATGTCCATCAACATATGAATGAACAAACAAATTGTAGTATATCTATAAAATTCAGTTCTCAACAATAAAAAGGGATAAACTACAGATACACACAACAGTGTGGATGAATCCCAAAATAATTATGTTTCATGAAAGATATCAGACACTTGAGTATATATTGTATGGTTCCATTTATATGAAATTCTAGAATTTGCAATACTAATTTATAGTGACAGGAAATAGATCAGTGGTTGCCTGGACTAGAAGTGGGGATGGGGTATTACTGACTGCAAATAGACGCAAGGTTCTAGTCTTGACTGCAGTAATGGTTACATGGGTGTACACATTTGTCAAAATTCATCAAACTATGCATTTAAAATGAGTTTTTTCTATTGTATGTAATTTTCACCACAATGAAGCTAATTTCAAAAAACCTATGAGTCCAGTAATAGAAATGACAGTAAAAGAAATGACAATAAAAGAAAAAAGAAGGAAGAAAAACTTATTTACCACTATTGAAGATAACAAGTATCTATCTCTCAATCTAACAGAGTAATTAAGGAAAAGAACTTAAAGGAATTGTAGTTATTCCCCAGCTAATGGAGGGACATTCTTTACATAAGATTTACCTAATAAATAGAGAAAAAATGATGGGCTTAGAAATTTAATAACTTGCAACCCACAATGAAAATTAGTTCAGGCAGTGGAGGGCATTATGCTAAGTGAAATAAGCCAAACACAGAAAGACAAACACTGTATGGTATCATTTATATGTGGAATCTTTTTTTAAAAAGTCGTATTCATAGAAGCAAAGAGTAGAATGGTGGTTGCCAGGGTCTAGGGGATGAGAAAAATAGGGAGAGGTTGGTCAAAGCATACCAACTTGCAATCATTGGATGAATAAGTTCTGAGGATCTAATGTACAGCACGGTGATTATAGTTAATAACACTGTACAGTAGTCTCCATGTATCCATGTTTTGCTTTCCATGGTTTCAGTTACCCACAGTCAACCACAGTCCAGAAATGTTAAATTGAAAATTACAGAAATAAACAATTCATAAGTTTTGAATTACATGCCATTCTGAGTAGTGTGATGAAATCTTGCACCATCCTGCTCAGTCCTGCCTAGGACATGAATCATCCCTTTGTCCAGCATATCCATGCTGAGGATGCTACCCACATGTTAGTCACTTAGTAGCTGTCTCTCAGTTATCAGATTGACTGTCCCAATATTGCAGTTCTTGTATTCATGTAACCCTTATTTTACTTAATAATGGCCCCAAAGAGCAAGAGTAGTGATGCTAGTAATTTGGATATGCCAAAGAGAAGCCATAAAGTGCTGCCTTTAAGTGAAAAGGTGAAAGTTCTCAACTTAATGAGGAGAAAAAAATCATATGCTGAGGTTGCTAAGATCTACACTAAATTTTATTACGGTACATTGTTATAATTGTTCTATTTTAGTATTAGTTATTGTTAACCTCTTTCTGTGCCTAATTTAAAGATTAAACTTGGTCATAGGTATGTATGTATAGGAAAAACATAGTACATGTAGAGTTCGGTACCATCCACAGTTTCAGGCATCCACTGGGCAGTCTTGGAACGACATATTCTCTGTAGATAAGGGAGTCTACTGTATTATATACTTGAAATTTGCCAAAATAGTAGAACTTAAGCATTCTCACCACAAAAAAGAAGGTAACTATGTGAAGTGATAAATGTGTTAATTGGCTTGATTGTGGCAATCATTTAACAATATACATGTATATCAAATCATCACGTTGTACACCTTAAACATACTACAATTTTATTCATCAATTATATCTCATTGAAGCAGGAAAAAAATTTAAAAGACAAGAGATAAGTGTTGGCAAGGGTGTGGACAAAATGGAACCCTTGTACACTGTTGATGTATTTTAAAAAAAAGAAAAGAAAATTTGTTCAGCCAGTATCAGCAATGGATCCTAAAATAATTAGATAAAATTTGAGGGAAAAGGATAGTCACATGGTGCCAAAGTGTCACCATACAGTTTAATTCCTAATAGCAAATGGAAATATGCACTTTTGCAAGGGAGATGTGGGGTCACCTACGTAATCAAATGATCAAAAGTAGTATCACTATCTGTGGGACAATCTGACATAAAGTACCTCTTGGAATGATGTAAATTGAAATGTAAAGCATTGCCTGAGAAATCTTCTTGCCAAAAAATGTTTTACCTGAACCTAGTCACGACCTAATTTCTGGTCTATGGAAAATATGAGGAATAGAGGAACAAGTTAAACTTATTACAAGAAAAAAAATCAGAAAAATATAGAACGTGGGAGATACTACAAGACAGCTGACTGATAGCTTCAAAAATCAATGTTGTGAAGAAAAAATATGAGAGGATGATTGTAGGCTGAGAGAGAGAAAAAGAACATCAAAACTAACACAGTCCATGAACTCTAATTGGAAAAAAAAAAGCTTTAAATTATATTATTAGACAATTATAGAAAACTTCATAGATTTTATGATATTAAAGAGTCATTATAAATTAGATGTGACAAGAAACATACAGGAAATATGATAGGAGAATGTCATTTTGGGAGATACATGCTGGAGCTCTTAGGTAAGAAGTGTCCTGATATCAGCAACTTACTTTCAAATGGTTCAGTCAAACATGATAGGTAGATGGATGGATAGATGGATAGATGATAGATAGATGATGATGATGATGATGATGATGATACATAGATGATAGATAGATAGATAGATAGATAGATAGATAGATAGATAGATAGATAGATGATAGATCAATAGATCTAGATGGAGAGAGAAAGGCTAAAGCCAATAATGCAAAATGATTTTTAAAATTTGAATGTTTGGACCACTCTTTATGCTATATTTTCAAGTTTTCTGTAAGTTTAAAATCTTTCAGAGGGGAAGGGAGGAGGGAGGAGGGCAAAAGGGATAATTCGGCACGTGTGTGGTGATGGGTTGTAATTAGTATTTGGGTGGTGAACATGATGTAATATATGCAGAAATAGAAGTATAATGATGTATACCTGAAATTTATACAATGTTATAAACCAATGTTACTGCAATAAACAAAAAATTAAAAAAATAATAAAAATTAAAATTCAAAAAAAAAAATTTTTCATAATAAAAGGTGGAAAAGTTGCTCCAGGTCCTCCTACAGGAAATTTTGTGACCACCTCATACCTAAGGGGAGGTATGATACAACAGAATGTCTCTTTTCTGCCTCCACAACATTATTCTAATGTCCAATTGCTCTCATATTTCTGTCTTTCTCAAAATATTTAATTACTTAAGATGAAAGGTCGGTTGACTAAAATTAAAGAACTATTTCTAATGTTTTCAAGTACAATGTGGATGCAGGAAATTCTAGACATGATTCAAAATGATGGCGATGAGGCAAAACGCAAATGAGCTGCCTCTACTGAAAGATACACTTTCGTTGAATTATTTCCCTATAAAGAAAAACATAATGAGTATTACACAACAAGATTGAAAAGACTTCCTGTGTTTGGATCAGTGGAAGGGCTGGAAATTAATTTTGAGCTACTATAAAAGGATGGGAATGATTTCTAAGAAAAGAGAAAGAGGAGGAGGAAAAAGAGGAGGGTTGTATGTTATGGACGTTAACAGAATTCGTTGACGGAGCTAATGAACTTTCCTGAAAGTCTAAATCCAAAGAATAAGATGAAATAAAGAAAGGCTTACTTAAAGAATAGGAAGGAAGGGATGCTTTGCACATCCTTGTGAATATACAGCAATTGTCTCAATATTCTCCTAGGGACAAATATAAAATAAAATCACTCTAGAGTAAGACACAAATGTAAATTCAAGAATTTCCCAAGAGTAACAAGAATAAATGAAGAATATGAATTGTTTTTCTAAATTTGGGGATAGCTCTTGAAATGCCGTCACCACGAGTCTTAAAAACTCACCTCCCTTTACACCTAACACCACCATTTTTCTGGAAACAAAACTGCAAGGTAAAAAGAGCTGACTTTTCAAATTTCTCTTAGCTTGGTGATATAAAGTATGTAACTGAAGATATTTTCAAAATCACATATGTGCTATTTTTCCTAGACTTAAAGTACTTAAAAATAAAGAATGACATAAATTTTGAATCTGTGAACATCTATTTTTCTACTATTCTATTTCCTCTGATCCTATTTCATGATAACTCCTTGGCTCAATTTTCCAAAATAATCTGCATTGTTATAAATCAGAGTGGATGGGGAGCTAGAATGGAAGGAAACCGTTTTTAAAGTAAAACATTTTGCCTTGCTCTGCCAGAATATTAGAGGATAGTCTCCTGGCCTCAGAAGCAAAAGTGTAGAATCTGCTTCTCTTCAAGACTTCCCTATGTCCATACTCTACCCAATTGGCCAAATTCGAAATCTGTCGTCATTTTTGTCTCCCTTGCCTCCATATTTGCTCTCTCACAAAGTCCACTCAATTCCTTCAGATCTTTCTAATCTATCCAATATACTAAATCACTACCACCTATACCCAAAAGTCACTGTTCTCTTTTGCCTCTCAATTTGTCTGCCTACCTCTTGTCTTGCCACCTCTGACCTTTCTTCTTTGTAGTTGGTAATCTTTCTAAAACACAAACCTCCTAAGGCATTTCTCTACTTTAAATTTTCCACAGATAGATTGAAGATCAAGTCCAAATTCTTTATATGACTTTCAAGGCCTTTGGCAGTCTGGGCCCTGCTTCAGTTGCAGCCCAATCTCTTCACACTTCTCCATTCTTGCTAAAAGCATCCTGAAAATCTTTAGGTCCTTTAACACAATGTTTCCTCACATCCTGGACCTTTCCATATGCTATTCACCTGACTCAAGCATATCCTCCCATATTTACTTAGCTAATTCCTACTTATCTTTAGATATTTGCATAGATACTACCTACTCTTGGAAGCTGCCCTTGACCACCTATGGCTGGATAAGTTTCACCTACATATGTTGGCCTAAGTGTGGATGTGTTTGTCCCATCATTGTATTCATCACACTGTATTGTAATTTTCTCTTTTCTTTCCTCTCTTGACTCTGAGTTCTTACCTCTTCTCGACCGAGTTCCTTGAAGGAAGGGCCTGGGTCTCACACATAGTAGGAGCTTACTTGTCTGCTATGCATCTGTTGAATGAATGATCATGAATTCGCAATCAGCAGCTTGCCATGCCACTCTCCTTATTTCGCCTAGGTTCCCAGGGCAAAGCCAAGAGCAACCCAACTATGAAAAAAATTGTATATTAGCAAAACCACTCTAATCATTGATAAACACTGTCTGAGACATTCCTCAGTGAGAGTCTCAATATATCCAGGCACTGTCCAGGTAATGAAGAAGCTCTGGACTCAGTGCCAAAATTTCTCTCTTGCAGGCCTGACCCCATCATGTACTAATCAAGTATGATTTGTAAAGTCCCTCAAATTCTCTAAATCTTAGTTATTTCATCAATTAAAGGAGGAGAATATCCCTTCTCTCCTTACCTAACCCTAACATTTATGAGAGTAAAATGAGATAGTATGTACAAAAATGCTTTCTCCTTCCCCAATCTTTCCCAATTGTGAAGCTGGGAAAATTCCTATTCACCTGTCAAGATACACCTGAGACTCACCATTTCATGGGTCATTCCCTGAATGTCCAGGAATGCTGTGCCATTTCTTCCTCTTGTGAGTACTTGGTGTATCATATTCCAGTCATTATTTACAGTACTGTCCTAACATTGTGTTCATCTTCCTGCATAACATATGACAACTCTAAGGGTCGGGCATTCTCCTTGTTTCTGTATTCCCCATGTCCATCAGAGTAGCAGGGTCGAAGAATGAGCTCAGTTCATTTAATTAATATTTTAAGTAATAAATCACAAAATGTATAAAATTCTACATACTTATGTAGTTATCATTTTATTGGAATACCCTACTACAGTCTTATTTTTCTTTCTCTGGCTTCCTTCTCTCTCCTTAATCTCGTATTATCTATCTGGCCAGAAATGCCAAAGATTGCCTGGTGTCTTACTAACACATTCACACAGTGGCTTCATATTGACTGACCCTCAGAGTTTGGAGGAATTTTGTGAGAAATGCATGTCTAGAAAAGGTGAGTCAAACTGACTTTGGGGTATTTTATATTTCAGCAGATTCTAACAATGAGAAGGGCCTCTGGAATTCTGGTAGAGAATGGTACTGAATGCCATCCTGAGTGACCAGGTCCTGTCTTAGTGTTCTGGGGACTGGAAAAGACAGGTAGAAGATATTTTTTTCCCCCAAAATTGGATACAAATATAAACTGAGGGACATATGAGGGTATAAGTGTAGGGATAAAGCTAAAAATCTCCAAATCTTGGATTTAGGTTTCAAAAATTGACTTCTACAGTAAGGAGGAGACATTTCATATGGAAAGATGTAGGGCAGCAGAAGGTGATAGGATCACTTCATGCTAATTCGATCTGTGTTATTGGGCTGCAGGGCCACTGTGTACAGCCATAAAAGTTGTGCACTGCACAATCACAGAGGGTGCCATTCCCATAAACCATAATGTACAATCTTAGAGGTCTTCTCTAGCAGGTCCTTCTAATTAGATTAGCAGGTGTGGCCCCTCCTCTTCAGTAATGAGATCACATCTTAGTAGACCTTACTACATCTTAGCAGATCTTACTGAGATCACAGCTTGGGACACTACTGAACCCTTTAGGGCTACACCTGTCAAAAAAGCAACTCACTAGAATTGACCAGGTGTCAAATCAGATTGGTAAGGATCTCAAAAGCTTGACAAAAGAAGAGATTCTCTGTGTAGACAGAAGAAGAGACTAGAGGGTTATGGGGGTGATTTAGGATGTGATGACTGTCTTCACCTCCTTTACATAGGGCTTTAATGTAGAAAAAAAGATTATAATATGTCATTATACTTCATATTGTGGTGGGAAGAAGTCAGACAAGTGAATGAAAATTACATGATATCTGTTCCACATAATGAATGTCTCTCAAATAATTAGAGTTCCCATGAATGAAATGACTGCTTTGTGATGTTGAGAGCTCCCAGTCCTTAGGCAATCTGACTGTCACTGAGCAAGCATCTATCGGTGTGCTGAGCAAAGGGCTGCCTTCCAGCAGAAAGTAGGACTGGATGACCCTTAATAGCTCTGTCTGATCCAGGAGTTAATAGAGAGGGAAGGACAAAAATAATACATTTCCAACAAGTCAGGATAAAAATATTTCAGAGTTCCTACTGACAATCCATTTATTTGATCAAGTTTAATTAAATTCCCAAATCAGGAAGTGTTTTACATTGCCCCCATGAATTCATTATAGCCAATCTGACCAGCATTCATATTCTCTTGAGAAAAACAAAGAATCAAAATGAAATGAATTCCTCAACACAATTTGGATAAAACAGAAATCTATGGAAAAACCAATAAAAAATAATCCCCATCAACTATGTCACTCAGGTGAATCAAGACAGAGGACTCTGTCAGAACAACTTCTTCAGAAACAAATGAGATAAAAGAGAGACAGCTGATGATAAGAAAAACTACAAATCTAGATAAGACTCCAATTGAATGGATTTCCCAATATTTATGCAAAGAACTTTTGAGAGTAGGCAAGGTGGAAGGAACCATGGGAGGGAGAAGGGTCCAAGTCTTCTCTTATGATTCTTCTCAAATCTTATGTTGTAATAGTATTATGTGTCAGCTTTCTTGATCTGTAGTACCCAATTATTCAATCAAATGCCAATCTAGGTGTTTCTGTGAAGATATTTTCTAGATCTGATTAACATCTACATCAGGTGACTGTAAGTAAAGAAGATTACCCCTCGATAACATGGGTGGGCCTCATCCAACCAATTGAAAGCCTAGGAGCAAAAACTGGGGTTTCCCAGAAAAGAAGGAATTCTGCCTCAAGACTGCAACATCAAATCCTGCCTGAGTTTCCAGCCTGCCAGCCTGCACTATGAATTTCAAACTTTCCAGCCCCCATAGTTGGGGGAACCAGTTCTTCAAAATAGATCACATATGTATAAAATCTCCTATTGGTTCTCCTATTGGTTCTATTTCTTTGGAGAACTCTCTCTGATCCATGTATCAGTCAGCATGATACATGTCAGGGTTCAAGTCAACTACAAACATACAACTCTGCTCAGATTCATTCAGAAAAGAACATTTCACTCATTTGCCTACTTGATCTGTGGACTTTTCATCTCTGAACAATGTTTTTTACCATCCTTCAGACAAAGTTCACATCCACTTTGCACCCATGCTTGCAACATAGCAAAGACTGAATAAAGATTACTTTTTTATTATTACTTATATACCATCATATATACACTATATTTAATATACTATATATTTAATATACTAATATAATTTTTATAATTATGCCCAGAACCAAGATCAGGAAGCTACCACATGTGCCAATCTATCAGGGACACTAAAATATCACTGGCATGACTTGAAAATACAGTACTAGCTAACTCTGGTTTCCATTCATTTCCCTATGAATGAATGAAAATTGATAAAACTGGTGAAAGGAAATTGATCCCAGGTTTCCCAAGTAGGCAAAGCCCTTAAGTTCCCCTCAATGGTACCTCTCTCTCTGCTGCTGCTGCATCTCTTTCTAACTGTGCACTTGCAAATTGCATAGCACAGCTATGAAGGGAGGGCAGCAGGAGGACTCCAGCTCTAAGACTAGAGTCAGTAGTTGAATCTGGAACTAAATACAATTTACCAGGAACACATGGTCCACCTACAAAAACAGAAACCAGTTTAAGGGACAAAGTGTTTATTTGGGATCAAAGAATTACAATTCAGTGAACACAGATTCCGGGAGAAACCCAAACACTGTCCCAATTACAGGGTGAAATAGGAGGGTTTTATGGGGAAAGGGAAGGGGTAATTCCATGAAAAGAAGAGGAAGAGAAAAAAGTCTTCTATAGGTTATTCTTTAGCTATATGTGGCTAGTTACCAATTGCATCTTCAGAAAGAGAGTTCATAATCATCAGTGTTTATGGTCAGGATGTCTGCCTTCTTGTTAGCTTTACAAACAGCTGTGTGGAAGACAATGTTGGTTTGGCCCCATCCAAAGTTCTGGCCCAGCTCAAACAGTTCAGAGGTTCAAGGAGTAAGACTTGCAGGCAGTTCTTCTGAAATGGCTACTCTGGCTCTATTTTAAAATGGCTCCACTTATGCCAACTTTTCACAAGGTGAAATATTTTATTACCGAAATGATTTATTTTTTTATTTTTTTTAATTTTTTTGTTTATTGCAGTAAGTTTGTTTATAACATTGTATAAATTTCAGGTGTACATCATTATGCTTCTATTTCTGCATAGATTACATCATGTTCACCACCCAAATACTAATTACAACCCATCACCACACACCTGTGCCAAATTATCCCTTTCACCCTCCTCCCTCCCCCCTTCCCCTCTGGTAACCACCAATCCAATCTCTGTCTCTATGTGTTTGTTTATTGTTGTTGTTATCTACTACTTAATGAAGGAAATCATATGGTATTTGACCTTCTCCCTCTGACCTATTTCACTCTGCATAACACCCTCAATGTCCATCCATGTTGTCACAAATGGCTGGATTTCATCGTTTCCTATGGCTGAGTAGTATTCCATTGTGTATATATACCACATCTTCTTTACCCATTCGTCCCTTGATGGGCACTTAGGTTGCTTCCAAGTCTTGGCTATTGTGAATAATGCTGCAATGAACACAGGGGTGCATGTATCTTTATGCATTGGTGTTTTCAAGTTCTTTGGATAAATACCCAGCAGTGGAATAGCTGGATCATATGGTAGTTCTATCCTTAATTTTTTGAGGAATCTCCATATACCTAAATGATTTAAAGTGAGTCCCAAGAAATGATCTATGTGGGCGAAGTCACATATAGTGAACATATATACATTATAAATCTCTGCTTTAAACTGTAAAGATGGATACAGCTTTTATTAGTAGAAAACTACCTTCCCTTCACTAAATAAGCTGAATAAAAGTTCCAGAAGCTTATTCCAAAGAGATGGTAAATTACCTCATTGCTTTGGGTTTGGCCCTGGTACTGAGAACTGATAGTGCTCCTACCTCTTCCAGTGGATCATGGCTCCTGGTATAACCACATGAAAGGGCAGCGGGCTGCAAAGGGCAAACACTGTGTCCTCTACCTCTTCTACGACGATGTGAAAAAGGTAAGTACACTGAGTGGCATTGGCCAGACCCAGCAAAGACTCCTGACAATTACATTTTATGCAAAAATCTGTCTTTTAAATTGACCACACTCTTTTTTTTTTCCCCTCTTCATAACACCATTTTCCTCTATGGTCAGAATCCAAAATGTGAGAGCCACAGGCTGTTGGAATTCTTGGAGAAAACCTTGTCAGAGGACATTATAAATAAGATCATTCACTATATGTCATTTGATGTAATGAAGGAAAATCCCATGGTGAACCAAACTGCTCTCCCTTCCCACATATATGACTACATCATCTCAAAATTCTTGAGGAAAGGTTGCTGACATTTCTTTTATTTAACTTGATCCTAAAATATATTCTGCCCTATAAGCCAATATAATTTTAAACTTAATTTTCAGGAAAAAGTGATATATTTCAATTGTAGGTGAGGACCGACTATTCCTCTAGTTTCTTCTGGCTGGTCTAAGAATTAAATTGACATGAGACAGAATAACAGGAGAAAATTGAGCAAATTTAGTGACATGTATACATGGGAGAAACCCAGGAAAATTGAGTAACTCACCAAAATGACCAAAGCCACCACCTTAAATGCCATCTTCAGCTAAAGACAAAGGAGGATGCTGGGGGTAGTGGTTTGGGACTTCAAAGGAGAGGAAGGCAATTCACATGGAGATGGAAAAGCAAATATTTGGTAAATAAATGTTTGTCATACCTTGTAAAAACAATGAGACATAGGGAAGACTTTCATTATATGGGCCTTGCTAGGTTCCTCCCTTGTCTGCCACACCTAGTCCACATTATACTATAGTTATCTTACGGTATTAACTCCTTCCTGGAACAGGCCTTCTACCCTAAATTCTTTAGGCAGTTAGGGTGAAGGTCAAAGTTTCTTTCTGAGTCTTTTTTTCTCAAAAATAATCAAGCCAGCCCTGCGGCCAAGTGGTTAAACTTCCACATGCTCCACTTCAGTGGTCCAAGTTCAAGGGTTTGGATCCCAGGTGAAGATCTACTCCACTCATCAGCCATGCTGTGGCAGCAACCCACGTACAAAGTAGAGGAAGAACAGACAGATGTTAGCTCAGGGCTAATCTTCCTCAAGCAAAAAAAAAGAGGAAGATTGGCAATAGATGTTAGCTCAAGGCAATCTTACTCACCAAAAATAAATAAATAAATAAATAAATAAATAAATAAATAAATAAAGTCAAAGAGACACATTTTGGGATGGCCAGTTCTGATCCCCTGCACAAATTAAAAATCTCTACTCCTTTTCACCCTGCCTGCTTGGCAAATGCCTGGACCAATGCTTCTCAAGTTTGAGCATACTTCAGAATCCCCTGGAGGATTTGTTAAAACACTGACTGCTGGGCTCACACCAGAGATTCTGACTCAGTAGGTGTGAGAGGGGACCAAGAATTTGCCTTCTAACAAGTCCCCAAGTGGTGCTGATGATGCTGGCCACCTTGAGAAATTCTGTCCTTCATAAATATAAAACCCCAGCTCAAGCATAATCTCTTCCCTGAAGTCTCTTGCCTCCTCTGAGCAGTTTTGGTCACTTTCTCCTTTGGTCCATCACTGTTTTTGTTCAGAGCTCTAGTTTAGCACCTAGCACATGGCTCTGTAACAATTTGTTTTCATGTCTGTCTCCACAGTGATACCATGGATTGTCCAGAAGAGAGTGTCATGTTCAGTTTTGTTCCACTAGTACCTAGCATAGTGCCTCATATATTGTGGGAACTCAGTAAATGCCTGCTGAATGAGTGAGCAAATGAATGCATGAATGAATGAATGAATGAGACAATTTCTGCCCTCAAGAGATTAACAGTTTATAGATAGAGAAAAATTAAAAATTCATTAACAGATTAATAGACAGACAGAGAAATAGAAACCATTCTATAGATAAGAGGGATAAGATGAGTTTTACTTGAGCCACGCTGAGGACTGTCCTGGGAAGGCAGTCTCCACAAAGGAAGAAAGTGTTCCAGAGAAGCATGGTATTCAGTACAGCTTTATGCCTTTTTAGAACAAAGAACATATATTAAACACACCCAGGATACATATTCATCAAAATTTCAAAGAGATTTAGTTACAGGTTAGTAGGTCAACATGACCTTGATGTCTGGAAAAGGAAAATTATTTTCAGGAGTACTGATACTGGTGTCATAGGAAGGGAAGTATGCCTTCTTATCTTCAAAGAGTACATTCTTTTACTTTGAGGTAATGTTTAATGCATCCTAATCTTTAATGGTTAAAGCAGATGTACAATATACGTTTGACAGGCCATAAACAAGGCTCCTTTACTTCAGGCTGAATCAGGTTTAAACCAGACTAGCTACCCATTTCATATACCTCAATATGTGAAAATTTGTTATCAAGAGTAAAGTGGGGGTTATACTAGTGGGTCCCAAATTCCAATCCACCTGACTAAATCAAAATCAGCTTTAAAAACCCAGAATCCCTGCCTAAGGATTCTAATTCATTGGTTGTGTGTTAGAATCCAGAATTCCATAGTATTATCAAGCACTTTGAGTTAATTGGCTTGCAAAGAGGTGGGAAATCACTAGAAATAAAGCAGTAGGAGACGGGTTTGTGTCAAGATGGTGGCATAGGCGGACTCTGAACTCACCCCCTCATGAACACAACAAATTGACAGCTACTTTTGGAAAAATTACCCCTGAGAGAGAACTGAAAACTGGATAAAAAAGAACCCCCACAACAAGGGACAGTCTTGACTGAGGTGGAAGAGACAGAAATTCATTTCTGGAGAGAAAAAAAGCCACCTTCACAAGGCTTCAAGGCTGCCTGAGAGAAATCCAAAGGTATGCAGGCTTCCCTGGAGGAGTGGGGGACCTGAGCAGGGGAGGATTACCACAATAAGCATCTTTTGGCCCCAGCACAACTGAGATGAGTGTCATAATATCTGGCTTTGCCGGCTACTAACAACAATGGGGAATACCCCTAGAAAAGCTATCAAACATAAGGAAAAAAAAGCCAGCTCTTAGAGGGCCCATGCACAAATTAACCCATTTCAGAAAGCAACATAAAATCACCAGAAAGAAAAGTGAATAGTCCTTTGGTGAAAAGAGAGTCACCTGATAGGCTCTGGGTGCATCTCGGTGAGAGGTGAGACCTCTCCAGGGACTGAGACATTGGTGGCAGCCATTATCATGACCTAGTACAGGCATGATGACACAGACACTGGCAGATGCCATTGGAGTCCTTCACCTGGCCTCTCTGCCCAGGGTCTGCCCTACCCACAGAGCACCAATTTAATCCAGCTCAGCCAGGGCAGGCAGCCAGCCCTAGGGACTGGCCCCACCCAACAGCAAGCCCTTGGGCAACTGGTGGGCCTGCATAGGCTAGGTGCATGAGTCCCCTGTAGCCAGGGGAGTGGGTCCACTTCTGTGGGGCAGGGTATCAGTGAGGAGTGGGTGGAGTGTGTGGGACCTCTGCGGTGGCATGACTGGGTCCACTTTAGGGGGTCAGGGTGCATGCATGGGGAAGGACTGCGTTGAGGGGCTGTGTAGCCCTGTGGGCAGTGGGGCCTGTCAGCTGCAGCAGACTTGTGCTTCTCAAACAGCCACATAGGGGGTCAGCCCCACCTTCCAAAGCCTGAAGCAATTGGATGCTCCCATGGCTGGGGCCAGCCCCACTCAGATGCAATCCTCAGAGAGCTGACAAGAGCCTTGTAGGCTGGAGACCTCCAGCAACTGGTAAGCCCTAAGCCTAACAATCAGCCATGCTAGGGGCCTACTCACATAACAGAAAAATCACAACAAGAATGTGATAATAGACCTTGCAGCCAACTGTGCTGGGGCCCCCCACATCCAATAAAGTGACTGAAGGGTCCCATAGTAGCCACATGCAGCTAAGAAATACAACCAGCCAGCCAGGGGGACAGCCCAGCCTCACTAGGCACCTACAGCACATAGCCCACAGAGGGGTCACTCCTGGACATTTGAAACTGGTGATGAGAGGGAAGCACACCACTGAGCCTCATAAGGCATCACTTATATAAGGTCACCTTTCCAAGATCAGGAGACATAGCTGATCTACCTAATACACAGATACAAGCACAGAGAAAAAGGCAAAGTGAGGAGGCAAAGGAATATGTTCCAAGTAAGGGAACAGGACAAAACACCAGAAAAAGAACTAAATGAAACAGAAATGAGCAATCTACCTGACAAAGAGTTCAAATAAAAAGTCATAAAGATGCTCACTGATCTTGGGAGAAGAATGGATAAACTCAGTGAGAACATCATCAACATCACCATCAAAAATTGGAAATACAAAAAAGAACCAATCAGAAATGAAGACAACAATACTGGAAATGAAAAATTCATTAGAGGGACTCAAAACCAGAGTAGATGATACAGAAGAATGGATCAGCAAGCTGGACAAAAGACTAGAGGAAATCACCCAAGCTGAATGACTACAAGAAAAAAGAATTGAAAAGAATGAACCAGTCTAAGGGATTTCTGGGACAGCATCAAGTTCACTAACATCCATGTCATAGGTGTCCCAGAAGGAAAAGAGAGAGACAAAGGGGCAGAGAATCTATTTGAAGAAATAATAGCTGAAAACTTTCCTAACCTAAGGAAGGAGACAGACATCCAGGTACAGGAAGCAAAGAGAGCACCAAAAAAGATAAACCTAAAGAGGTCCACACCAAGACTCATCATAATTAAAATGTCCAGAATTGAAGTTAAAGAGAGAATCCTAAAAGCCACAAGAGAAAGGCAACAAGTTACAAACAAAGGAAACCTCATAAGGTTATCAGCTGACTTCTCAGCAGAAACCTTACAGGCTAGAAGAGAGTGGCACAATATATTTAAAGTGCTAAAAGGAAAAAACCTCCAGCCAAGAATACTCTACCTGAAAGATTATCATTCAGAATGGAAGGAGAGATAAAGAGCTTCCCAGACAAGCAAAAATTAGAGGAGTTTATCACCAAGAAACCAGTCCTACAAGAAATGCTAAAGGGACTTATGAAAGGGGGAAAGAGAAGACCACAAATGGGAAAAAATGATCTATTTCCATGATAAAAGGGTAACGGACACAAACACACAAAAGAGAGGTTAGATATGATATCAAAAACATAAAATGTGGGAGGAGTGGAGTAAAAGAGTAGAGCTTTTAGGAAGAAGACAAACTAAAGAGACCATAAACTTAATATAGATGGCTATATACATGGTTATTATATATGAACCTCACAGTAATCACAACCCAGAAACCTATAATAAATACACAAAACACTAAGAGAAAGGAAGCCAAACATAATACTAAAGAAAGCCATCAAACCACAAGGGAAGAGAACCAGAGAAGAAGAAAGGAACAGAGAAGAACTACTAAAACACCCAGGAAAAAAGTAACAAAATGGCAATCAGTATGTACTTATCAATAGCTACTTTAAATGTCAATGGACAAAATGCTACAATCAAAAGGCATAGGGTGGCTGATTGGATAAAAAAACAAGACCCATATATATGCTGCATACAAGAGACACACTTCAGACCTAAGAAACTCACAAACTGAATGTGAAGGGATAGAAATAGATACTTTATGCAAGTGGCAATGAAAAGAAAGCTGAGGTAACAATACTTATACCAGACAAAATAGACTTTAAAACAAAAACTGTAACAAGAGACAAAGAAGGGATCTACATAATTATCAAGGGAACAATCCAACAAGAGAATATAACACTTGTAAATATCTATGCATCCAACATAGAATACCCAAATATATAAAGCAATTATTAACAGACATATAAGGAGAAATAGACAGTAACAAAATAATAGTAGGGTACTTTAACACTCCACCTACACCAATGGATAGATCATCCAAACAGAAGATCAATAAGGAAACATTGGCCTTAAATGACACACTAGAAGGGATGGACTTAGTAGATATATACAGAACATTCCATCCAAAAACAGAAGAATATACATTGTTTTCAAATGCACATGGATAATTCGCCAAGATTGATCACATATTAGGCCACAAAACAAGTCTCAATAAATTTAAGAAGATTGAAATAATACAAAGCATCTTTTCTGATCACAACGGTATGAAACTAGAAATCAACTACAGGAAGAAAATCAGAAAAGCCAAAAGTATGTGGAGATTAAACAAAATGCTACTGACCAGTGATTGATTCAATGAAGAAATCAAAGGAGAAATCAAAAAATACGTAGAGACAAATGAAAATGAAACTATGACATGCCAGATTTATGGAATACAGCAAAAGCAGTTCTAAAAGGGAAGTTCATAGCAATACAGGCCTACCTCAACCAACAAGAAAAATCTCAAATGAACAATCTAACAGTGCACTTAAAGGAACTGGAAAAAGAAAACCAAAGTCCAAAATCAGTAGAAAGAGGCAAATAATAAAAATCAGAGGAGAAATAAATGAAATAGAGACTTAAAAAAATAGAAAAACCCAGTGAAACCAAGAGCTGGTTATTTGAAAAGATAAACAAAATTTACAAACCTTCAGCTAGACTCCCCACGAAAAAAAGAGAGAAGGCTCAAATAAATAAAATCAGAAATGAAAGAGGAGAAATTATAACAGACACCTCGAAAATACAAAAGGTTATAAGAGAATACTACAAAAAGCTATACGCCAACAAATTGGATAATCTAGAAGAAATGGATAAATTCTTAGAATCATACAACCTTCCAAAACTGAATCAAGAAGAAACAGAGAATTTGAACAGACCAATCACCAATAAGGATATTGAAACAGTAATCAAAAACCTCCTAAAAAACAAAAGTCCAGGACCAGACGGCTTCCCTGGTGAGTTCCACCAAACATTCAAAGAGCCCTTAATACCTATGCTTCTCAAACTCTTCCAAAAAATTGAAGAGGAGAGAAAGCATCCTAATTCATTCTATGAAACCAACATTACCCTGATACCAAAACCAGACAAGGACAACACAAAAAAAAAGAAAATTACGGACCCATATCACTGATAAACATCGATGCAAAATCCTCAACAAAATATTAGCAAATTGAATACAACAATACATTAAAAAGATCATACGCAGGGGGCCAGCCCGGTGGCATAGTGGTTAAGTGCATGGGCTCCGCTTTGGCGGCCTGGGATTCACAGGTTTGGATCCTGGGTACGCACTGACACACCACTTGTCAAGCCATGCTGTGGCAGTGTCCCATATAAAGTAGAGGAAGATGGGCACAAATGTTAGCCCAGGGCCAATCTTCCTCAGCAAAAAGAGGAGGACTGGTGAC